AGATGGTGGCATGCTGGTTGTTTGCAGGCGAGGCGCTGGCTGGTCGGAGGTGGCAGGGCGCTGGCTTCTCGCAGGTTGCGAGGCGCTGGCTTCTCGCGAGTGGCGAGGTGCTGGCTGTGTGAGTGCAGCGAGGCGCTGGCTGTTGGCGGGGGGCGAGGCGCTGGCAACAGGTGAGTGGTGGGGCGCTGGTGACTTGCGGCTGGCGAGGCGCTGGCTTGGGGTGACTAGTAAGATGCTAGCTGACACGTGGCGCGGTGCTGGCAGCCGACGGGAGGGAGGCGCTGGTGCGAGGGTGCTGTGATGTTGTGAATTAGATGGGGGATAGCGCTTGACGCATGCGCGGTATCCAGAGGCGCTGGGTTATTACTACGTCATAGGCTGACGTGGCATCTGGCCTGAGGCACAGAGGAAAAGTGAGAATGGTAGCGGCAGCTGCTGTTTGAACATTTTCCCTGTGTTTTTCACATGAAGTACTCCATAGCCAAGACCTTTAAAGAGGCTGGAGAGCTCATGCGAGTTGACGAAAGTCGATGTCGKTGGAGGAAAGTGGAGTCAGCCCCGTGGAGACCAAAGTGCGGAGAACGTTGGTCCTACTTGAAGAATCATCACAGTGCCACTGGGAGAGTATCATCACAGTGCCACTGGGAGAGTATCATCAAGAGAGCGGCTAGGAGGTCATCATCAACCTATATATGTGCTTTCGTCTGTTTTTTGTCTTGTGCAGGTTATCCATCAAGAGCATCAAGATTTTCATCATTGTGATTTCAGCAGGGTTTTTTTCATCAAGGACACCGTCATTTTTGTAATCCTCATTTGGTTACCGATGGTAATCATCATCGGCTTCTCTAATTCGTCATCCATGTTATTTATCTTCTTTTTATCTTCTTCATGATCATCATCCGGGTTTCTCTGTAAAAATCATAATCATCCTCATCTTCTATTTTCATTACAGCAATAGTGAGTTGTCAATCTTCCACACCGATGCCATTAGGGCATCGCAAGTCCGACGTTCCTTACTTATTTTCACCAATTTTATTTCATCATCATCATCATCATCATCATCATCACGGTTTCTTTATTCATTTTTTCATCAATCAGTAGTTATCTCTGTGTTGGTGGTTATATTCTCATCTCCCAGATAGGCTATGGTCTAGTTGGTAGGTAGGTTGGTCAGGAAGGGAGCGCTACTCCGCATGGGTAACACAAGGTGGGAGGTGATTGCCCTCCAGGGAGTAGACGCAGACGATGGGAGCTGACCTGGGCTGGGGCTGGGGCTGGGAGAAATGTATGGGGGCGCATTATCTCCTGGCGGAGGCAGACTAGGTCAGAGTGTTAGTTTTGAGGTACACCTTTTGGGGAAACTGGTTACCTCAAGGTAGAAGGGAATGGGGAGGTTCTCTCTCGTTGGGGCTGATAGGAACTTCATGCTGATAGCGGGGTTGGGCTCAGCGGAGGCAGCGAGAGGAGAAGAGGAAATGAGGGGAGAGGAGGAGAATACATGGAAGAAGGGGAGGGGTGGAAAGAAATAATCATCAGCGTCGTCGTCATCATCCATCATCTTTGTGATCTTCTCAGGGTGCTCGTCAAATTTCATCATCAAAAAGTTTTGCTGATCAGGATTCTGATATTATCAGATCCTTGATTTCTGGTTGGCATTCTAGAGTAGCTAATTTCCTAATTGAGTCTTCTTGTGTAATGGCCAGGTTGAGTTGCCGCCAGAGCGACGCTAGCCGCCGCTGGGGCAGTGCCCTGTAACCTGCTTGTGTAGGAGCTTGAGGCTTTGTATAGAGGTCTGGAATTGCCAAGGGAGGAAGGCAATCTGCAAACTTGACTACTGGCTACAATCTGGCCGAGGATGGTCGGAGCTGGGGTGGGTAGTGCTGCCCTGTAACCGAGCCAGATTGGGGTGTGAGACCGGGAAGAGGCCTGATTGGTGCACAGCACAGGCTCAATTGTGATTGGTTGTTTGGAATGGATACAGGAAATTAGGGATAGGATAGTAATTCAGTGCTGAGTAGACAATCTTCCTGATTAGTCATCATCTAGCTCTATTTCATGACCTCAATCACCCACTCTGACATCCTAAATCATCCAAAATGATCCTCAATCATCCCAGATTTTCATCAATTGTCAATCATCAATGTGTTCCCATTATAAGGGACGCTGGGCCCGTTTCCCAGCACGTGATGCTCCCCACGAATAGATTGGAGCAATTAAAAAAAAATAAAAATAAAAAATAAAAAAAAAATTACCTTGTTAGAGTGCTTGTTCCAGGTGCTCTCCATCTCGTACCAGAGGGTTCGGGTTTTCTCACACTCTAGGAAGCAATGGTTGAGTGTTTCTTTAGCTTCAGAATTGTAAACTTTACACCATGAAGCTTGTTCTGTTTTGTCCTCCTTTCTTCTCTTTGTGCTAGCCAGTCATTTATTGGGACTGCTCTGAATGTTATGAGCCATAGCAGGCTTGCCAATTTCACCGGTTTTGCACAGAATATTGATGACCAGGAGGGGTTGAAGCCTTGAAGGTAGACGTTGAGAGAGAAATTTCTTCTTTTTGTCATCTTTTTTGGACGACTGTAGTGGATGAGATGGGTGTAGAAAATAGTTTATAGCCCAGTTTGGCTGTGTAGTCTGTCAATTTGTGTCTTCGTGTCACGACTGTAGTGTTGTTAGAGATGCTCCAAGACCATTCTGCGGTGTCGATTTCCAGGTGTTGGATGTCTGATTCCGGGTTGTGAACTTCGTTAGTCTCTCCTTCTAGAACTCTGATTCTTCTAAGATTGCTGATTTTAAAAGATCCCTCGACCCCACTTTCTTCATGTAGATAGCTCACTGGGTTTCATCGTTCTTTCAAGGGGAAGATGCTGCAGCATATCCATTCTTTGTAATGTGTTTCGTTGCTGATAATTTTCAGGACTTCTTGGGTACTTATCTGATTTTTCTGCGCCGCCCAGTCTCCCACCGTCCATTTTTGCTCTGGACTTAGTAAGCGCCTCCATTCCATAGGTATAGATTTTATGATGTGTGCGAGGTTGGCTTGTGGGTTATGTCTCCCCTTGAGATTTAGTCTCAAATCCTTCTCAGTTTTTCAGTTGGTGGTGGTATCATTCCACAGGTGTTGGATTTGCCAGATCCCTTTTTCCAGCCAGTGCCCCTATTTGGCATCTTTTTGGTGAGCGACAGGCTTTCTCCCGTTTCGTTTTTTAATCTAGGGGCTGCCGAATATGGGTTGCCCGAGTACTTCGTCTTTTCTATTGGGCCCCAGTTTGTTTTCTGGGAAGCTTCTTCTCCAAATGTGGAGAAGTTGTCTCCAAAAGAATCCGGATTGGTCGTTACCTGTTTCTTTTGTTTGGTCAACATGTTGGTTGTGAAACTTTTTACCCTTTGGTATGGACCATTGTTTATTAAGTAACCAAAACTGGCCCGACATATTGGGGCGGGAGTTATATGGGGCCATTTATCTGATGTGGACGAGTGTGAGTGGAACCCATTGGAGGTTACTTTGTAGAATAAGTTTTAGTATCCATTTGATTTGTAGGGCTTGTATTTGCGGGCTGGGTCAAGTAGACCCAGACCTCCTCTCCTCTTTGGTAGTGTTACTATTTTCCACGCCACTTTGTGGATGAAGTTTTATTTGTCTGGATTACCAGTCCACCACAAGCGGTCAACAACTTGCTGATCCTCACCGAAAGTAATTATGAAGTGAGAATTCTAAAATCGGGTTTCAACAATTTAAAAGGTGCTGAAAATTCTGAATGCCCCCCCCCCCCCCCCCCCCGATAATGTTGAACATTTTGAAAATTTTGAAGCGTTGAACAACCCCTCCTTAAAGAAAACAAAACAAGGGGATGCTTGGGAACCAAACGGACGTTGCATGCCACATCATGGCGAAAATTGAGTTGTTAAGCGCCAGAACCCTGCCTAGGAGGGATGCATGTGATTTTTGCCGGCTATGCATTTTGTTGATCATTGCTGATAATAATGATGCTGCTGATGTGGGGTGGCATCCTTTTATGTTGAGTTGTATTCCTAGGAACCGGATCAGGGTTGTGGAGTCAGTCCATTGGAAGCCTTCTGAAGTATTCGTCGTGGGTGGTGGGGTTGGTGAGACCCACCAACGTACACTCTTTGGCCAATTGACTTTCATTTTGGAGGCTACCGTCTTCACCCGAAAATAACGTCCGGGCGTTGTGTACGAATATAACGCCCGCCGGGCGTTATATTCGTTCGTTTATAACGCCCGGGCGTTATATTCAGTAAATTTGTGGTAACTTTTGTGAGGACCCAAAATTCCGAAAAAAAACATAAATAAAAAAATTCTGAAAAAAAAAAAAAAATGTTGTCCAGGATTGGAATGCGACCAACTTTTGGCTGAGGGTCACTTCAGAATTCCTTATGAACTTGGAAATAAAAAATGAAAATGAAAACTAAAGCCAAAATATACCCCTTGGAAGTCAAAACCCCATTCAACCCTCTTCAAAACCCATGTATACCCCCTTCCCCGCCCTTTAAAACCCATGTATACTACCTCTTCAAGGCACTCTGCCCATAGAACATTCAAATATAACGCCCGGGCGTTCTATTCAAATATAACGCCCGAGCGTTCTATTCGAATACAATGCCTCGGCATTCTATTCGAAGGGGCGTTCTATTTGAAAAGTGAGTAAAAACGAAAATCTCATATTTTTAGGGTAAGTTGAAAATAACGCCTGGGAGTTATTTTCGGGTGAAGACGGTAGCTGGAAGGCTTGCATTGCTCTAGTTAGTGCTTGGAAAGAGGAGTTAGTGGCTCTGAATCCCTCTGATTAGTACAGTTAGATCATCTGCAAAGAGTAGGGTGCTGGGGAGGTGGAGAAAGTTACCCCCTTCATCTTTTATACTTTCCAGTCTTTCTATAGAGGTTCTATTGTGGGTGGTTTTCCTTACGCATGAGAAATGTTTTGCGTCAGGGTGTAGGAGTAAAAATGAATCAACTACGTTATTTCTCGTAATAAAATTTGTTAGATCTTGACTATTTGATTGTTGGGATGGATCACTAGAGTTGGATATCCTATCTAAAGCTATGGGTAACAAGTGGGAGGGCTCACAAGAGGAAGGGACTGCAAGCAGAACAAAGAGATTCAGACCAACCACAGAGGAGGACATTCTAAGCGAAATCAGAAAACAACCTGTGCTCTATTTTGTATCGTGAAACGTAAACGGCCTAGCCTCAGTTCTAGACAAGCCAATTAAATGGAGGAATCTAACTAAAGCTATTGGCTGGTTCGGTCCAAATCCCCCAGATATCACATGCTTACAGGAAACTCATATCTCAGAAAGCACAGATCACCAAAAAATCAGGGTAGTCCTAGAGAAGAAACTGATGCACGCGAAAGCAGCCTAAATGCCGCAGACAATGGTTCAGCGGGTATAGTTATCCTACTCCACCAGAACTCAACGGCAAGTATCCACCTTAAAGTTCTCAACAACTGGCAAGACACTACAGCAGGAAGGGGATTAAATTAGACATAAAATATAAAGAAGAATGCATAGCTATCCTAGGTATATATGGTCCCAACGCCCCATAGGAAAAAAAAACATTTCTCCACACAATAGAGAACCTAATTCCAAACCCTCATTACCATAAAACAGATAGGGGAAACGGAGATCCACGCCCACTGGAACAGAACGAGAGATGGTTAATGGAAGGCCCAAAATTCGGGTTTTTTGCAGCATCACCAAATAATAATAATAATAATAATAATAATAATAAATCAGGGAAGTATGTCGTCTTTCGGTGAAAAATTCGTCGGAAATGACACCACTTACTAACCGTTAGTAACACGAAAACAGCTGCGGAATGTTCAGGATATCCCAGACAAAAAACAGGAAATTAACAGAAAATTCAAAATTCACTAGTCTCAAGCTAGGCAATGGAAAACTGGGCACTACTAAAGGGTGAACGGCTCGTCCTCAAGGACTGGCTAATACTACCTTTTATCACGATTATACTGTGACACATTCCTCCAGCTGTTTTGGTCCGGTGGCACCGCTCATCCAAACTGTTCGGAATGAGTCATTCTTTATTCTCAAGTTTGCCTGGGCGGTGTACTTGCGGGTTAAACTGCCAGTACACGGCCCTGGCCTTGCTGAAAAAGAAACTCGTAGCCTACGAAAAATTTGGAGGCTCGGCCTACCGGACCACGATGGCTGGCGGCGCCAGCCAAACAAGAAAAGAAGTGCACCGCTGGCAATTGGCAAGACCTTGGCGCACAGCAAGGCGCCTGCAGGCCCGGGTGTACTGGTGGTTTGAGCGTCTTTAAGACACTAAATGTCCATGTACCTTGGGTCTGTAAAGCGAGCTCCATAACCAGAAGTTCCAATCTTCAAGGCCCCAGGGAATCGCAGGGTCGTAGCCGCCAACTTGGGTCATGAGTGCCCGGCTGATAAGCACACTGCAGCAAATAATTGATATAAATAAAATTTTAATTAATAATTAAAAACAAGGAGGCCATCAAAGGATGACTGACTGATGGCAAGCCTAAAGAGTAATGAAAACCAAGAAACCAAAAGTATGTAATGAAGAAAGGAAATGAATTAGATATTGAAGAAGGAAAAAAATTCAAGGAAAAGAAAAAGGAAAGACAAGACACCATGTTTGATGAGTCAAACAATATGGCTGGCTGCATGTTTTTTTTTTTTTTTTTTTTTTTTTTTTTTTTTTTTTTTTTTTTTTTTTGGTCATGTTAAAACTATGGCTGCAATTCAGCAAACGAACACAGCCATCATTGTAATTGCCTAGCATGGCCCCAAACCCAAATTGCTAGAAAAAGGGAAAGCACGTTTTGGGGTGGCAGTCCATCTTGAAAAGCTACCGTCTTCACCCGAATAGCACACCCAGTCATTATAGCTTCATTTGACCCAATTTTGAGGCAAATTTCAGTCTATCTACAGCAATGATAACCGGGTGTTCGATTCAGGTGAAGATGGTTCGTAGACCCATCCATTCATCCATCTGCCCAGCCATGGCCAGACAATGTGGACATACGTTCACTTTCCCGCAGTAGATTCAACGCCTGTGTACAATGTAAGAGCACACTCACACTTAGGACTTTCCTAGATGTACTTGTAATGGCCCCCCAACTCCGGAAGTTCACATCAACATCCTCATGCAAAATACTAACAATGCTCAACGGTTGGCAACCCACAGAAAGACACCAATGTACTCAGTGAAGAAGAAGAAGAAGAAGAAGAAGAAGAAGAAGAAGAAGAAGAAGAAGAAGAAGAAGAAGAAGGAGAGGAAGAAAAAGAGGAAGAAGAAGGAGACGAAGAATAGGAAGGAGAAGAAGAAGAAGAAGAAGAAGAAGAAGAAGAAGAAGAAGAAGAAGAAGAAGAAGAAGAAGAAGATAACCAATGGAACAATGTCTTGATCTGCCTCAATCTCGTGTTTCTCCATCCGCTTCAGCTCCTGCTTCTCCTCCTCTTTTTCATAGTCTTCCTTCCCCATCTTGCCACCTCCTTCCTTCTCTTCCTCCCTGCCCCCCCCTCAGCTTCTCTTGTGCTCATTGCCCTGAACAGGCCCATCGTTTTCCTCCTCTTCATTATCCTCACTGTGCTCATCCGCTTCTTTTCCATCCTCCTCCTCCTCCTCATCTTTAGCGCCTCCATGACTCATTCCTCCACCCCTCCTTCCTTCACCCCTCCTTCCTCCTTCCTCCTTCCTCCTTCCTCCTCCTCCTCCTCCTCCTCCGCCTCCTCCTCCTCCTCTGCTGCTGCTGCTGCTGATGATGATGATGATGCTGTCTGATTTCCTCCCTCAACTCCTGCGGCATTATCATTCCAAAAGATCAAATATCATTTGGGAAATTGGGACATATTTCTGGATTGTGTGCAGTAATTCTGGATTAACCTTACTTAACACGGAATTCCTTGTGCAGTAACAATGACTGCACACACTTGCAAATTCCTCTGAGACATCCGTTAAAATTGGAGTGGTACAGAGAAGATTAGCATGACCCCTGCGCAATGATGACATGTATAGATTGAGAAAGTGGAGGGGGTTATGGATCATCACCTGGCATGAAACTTGTTCCAATTTGCGATCCCGAGAATGCTGAAACCCTCAGGGAAGCACCACGTTCCGGTAGCAGCATCGAAATTCTCCATGCACCCCTGGTAACGCAAGACGATCAGCAGATATGATATCCTTTTCAGAACTAATCAGTAATTAAACTTTTTAAACTTTTCACCTTAAGTTTGCAACTCTCAATGCAAGCTTGGGTTGACTGCAGAATTTGTTGCATGGCATGCATGCAGAAGTACAGTCATTGCACAACTCGTCTGAAGAAAAAAATTCCAATGATTGTGATTCTGCAGATGAGTACCACTCCTTCGCTAGTACCTCCCGCCCACCCTTCACCCCAGTTGCATCATGATCAAATTCTACAAATTCAAAATGCTCGATAACCGAAATAGTAGTTGAAGTACCACTGTAGTATTGGTAGCACGGTACTAGTACTAGTAGTAGTGGTACTACAGCATACGCGCACGGTCCCATGGTCAATAATGTATGCAACAACTGTGCGCGTTGACGGTATATCAGACTATATCTTGAATTGAATTGTACAGTGTCACTTAGACCAAGGTGTTACTTGACTTCCTTCGAATGGACTGCACTTGCGTTTTTTGATTGCATTCTGTACCTCCTCCTCCTCCTACTCCTACTCCTACTCCTACTCCTACTACTAGTACTACGAAGAAGAAGAAGAAGACTAGTGCTAGTAGTACTACCGTCTTCCCCCGAACATAACGCATATGCCTTGTAAACGGATACAATACATAGGTTGATTTCTATTCGAAAACAACACATGTGTTCAATTCGAACAGCCCTAATATTCGAATACAATGCACATGCATTCTATTTGAGCCATAGATCTCTTTCAATAACTCGAATACAACGCATATGTTTTATGTTCAGGGGAAGACAGTACTACTACTACTACTACTACTACTACGACGACGACGACGACGACGACGACGACAACTGCTACTACCACTAGGGATTTGGACTCAGAGGGATCAGGTGCTTAGGGTTCAGGTTTCATGTTTCATGTTTCAGGGTTCAGGGTTCAGGGTTTGCTGTTGAGGATTTAGTGTTTAGTGTTTAGGGTTTGCTGTTTAGGATTTAGTGTTTAGGGTTCAGGGTTCAGGGTTTGCTGTTGAGTATTTAGTGTTTACTATTTAGGGATTAGGGTTTGCAGCTTCGGGTGTTGGCTGAGCAGCACAGCACAGCACAGCACAGCACAGCACAGCACAGCACAGCACAGCACAGCACAGCACAGCACAGCACAGCACAGCACAGCACAGCACAGCA